CCCAGATCTCATCCTCACCTCTCTGCCCTGGGCTGTGTGTTCTCGAGCCTCCGCTCTCGCCTCTGAAAAGCAGGGTATCATTTCCGTGACATGACGCAGAAATACTCCGGGGCCGCTTTGCTTTTCCCGCGGGAGTTTGCGGATGTCCAGTGGAGTTTTCCACCGCTGCGAGGCCGGACGTCCAGCGGCTGAGCGCAGAGGCAGATGTCCCAGGCCAGCTGCACCCTGTTAAACCGCGCCTCTGAGAATCTGCAACTGCACGGAACAGTACTGCCTTTTTCCTGAAACTTTTGGGGAAATATGGTTGTTTTAAACAAAAATGTTTAACACGCAGTGAGTTTATCACTTTTAAAATTAGTAAATTCAAATGGTTTCTTCATTTAAGTGTCTCCTCTGGTGAATGTCTATGGGTGCACTGCGCCTGACAGAAGCTGTCCGGGGTCTCTGAGTGCTAGCGTTCCGCAGGGCAGACAAACGCCGCAGGACTGAGCACCCACAAAGACTCTTGTGTTTGTCTAAACCCAAAGCCACGTACTGTGTGTCCAAAGTGTCTTCCGATAAAACCCCCTCCCTCCCTGGGAAGCCCATTGTGGCAACAGAGTTGTACAAGAAAACATTCGTAGCCAGCCACCATGGCACTCACCTGTAATCCCAGCACTCTGGGAGGCTGAGGCAGGAGGATTGTCAAGTCAAACCCAGCCTGAGCAATTGAATGCCTGCCTTTCAGTGAGTCCCTGTCTCAAAATAAAAAAATGAAAAAGGCATGGAATATAAGCACAGTGGAAGGCCCTGGTTCAGTCCCCAGTCTGAAAAGCCCAAGAGTTTGTATCTCGATACACCTGGCTGGTTAGTGCGTAGTGGATTGTTAATTAGTCAACAAAGAGTCTTTAAATTAATCACTAAACACTTTAACAGCAGGCTGTCCATGGTGGACACTGGGGTGGGACTTGGAGACGTGTGGGGGTTGTTAGAGTGGAACTGCATCCCACGAAAGGCTGTTGTGGCCGGGCGCGGTGGACCATGCCTGTCATCCCAGCACTCGGGAGGCTGAGGCAGGAGGATTGCTGTGAGTTCGAGACCAGCCTGGGCTACAAAGTGAGCTCAAGGCCAGCCTGAGCTGCATAGAGAGACCCTGTCTCAAAAAGACAAAAAAGAAAAGCTCAGTGGCACAAGCACCTGCCTGTCAAGCAGAAGGTCCTGAGTTCAATTCCTGGTATATTAAAAAAAAAAAGGTTTGGCTGCTGTCTCCCCTCCCCCACCCTCCCTCCTCTTAGCAGAAGGTTTGGTTTTGTGGCTACAGTGCTTTAGAAACAAGAGTTAAACCAGGCATGGTGGTACACACCTGTAATCCCAGCCCTCAGGAGGATGAGGCAGGAGGATCATCGCGAGTTCAAGATCAGGCTACAAAGTGAGCTCAGGTCCAGCCTGGACTGCATAGAGAGACCCTGTCTCAAAAAGTCCAAAAAAAGAAAAAAAAAGAGCTACTACCAGGAAGCCACCTATGCATGTCAATACAGAGGGAACCTGAGGCAAAGTCAGTGAATCTTATTCCCTGAGCTCCGTGCCCTGCCCAGCGGCTGTCCTGTCCTGAGTGACTGACAGCTGTGTGCTGAATCCAGCCCCAGGAAGCTTCTTCCTCACCTCAGCTTCCAGCGGTGCACAGGGACACTAGGACGAATGACCAGGAGGTGAAGACGCACGTCTCAAGGGAGGCAGAGGGGAGGGAGTAAGACGGGAGGACGACCATGCGCTGTGACCACAGCGTGGCTCGTCCTCCTGTGTCCTGCTGGTCCCGAGAGATGCCCTGGGCCTCCTTGGTCCTCTCTGCAGAGAGGTTTCCCCTACAGCAGGAAGCCCCTGCAGAGACCCAGCCCTGGACCTCTGGGCCTTCAGACCCGTGTGCAAAATAAACCTTTATGCTTTCGAAATCACCTAGTTCGTGGCATTCGGTTACAGCCACAGAAAACAAAGGCACCAGTTGAGCAAAACTCCTACAGCGCAAGTCCAGGTTCCAGACCATCTTCTCCATGACCGGCTCTCACTACCCGGGTGGGGAGCACCGGTGCGGGGCCAGCTCCGCGGCCCGTGCGCAGGTTCCTGAGTTCTGCTTCTAACGTTTGGTGCGATGACTATTCCACCTCTTCGTGCATTAGTCTCCCCATTTGTGAGATAACTAGACCTGTTGTAAGGACTGCACAGATAGGCTGATCTGAGACGTAAGCAAACCCTCCTTTGCTCTTCCTGGCCACAAGGCTGAGTGTACCGTCCAGCTCCCCAGGAGGGCGGCGATCTACGCAGCTTCTTTCTTGCTTAAAAGGGAGCTGCTGGCGCTCACCCCGTCTGTCCCACCTTCCTGATGCTCAGGATGGCGACCCCTGACGGTGACCCCTCCCCCTGCTGGCCTCGGAGGCCACACAGGGCCGGCAGCCGAGCTGCTCACAGCCTGGGCTCCTGACGGAGCAGAGACGCCCCGACGCAGGGGCCTCGCGGACTGTAACGTGACACGGAATGAACTGCCTCCTCACGCCACCTCCCTCCTGGGTCACCGGTGACTGCGCCGAGGACTTTCCCCTGAAACTAAGCACTGGGTGGGGTTTGCACGGAGGACTCTTCTGTCCCGTCCTGGAAGCACACGGTGAGTGACTCCAGCCCCTCAGCTCAGGAAAGAAGCAAACAATTTCCAAGTGTTTTCGGTGTAGCAGACGCGATAAACTTTGCCTTTCGCCCCCGACTCAGCGGGTGTGACAGCAGCTTCACTGTCTGTGCAGGGGTGCAGGACCGTTCTTCTTGCAGAAAGTGGTGGCACTCCAGTGATGCAACCGTGCAACCTGCTCAGGTGTGCTATTTTAATGACCACTCTTGACACTCCCAGGAGGCACTGTCTCGGAAATTTCCACCTGCTGAGAGTTTTTTAAATTTTTAATTGAGCTTGGCTTCTTCACTGCATCTTGCATGTATTATTGACAGCTGGATGATCACTTGACAATTAAACATGTCTGGTTTGAGCCAGGCATGGGTGGGACACACATAAAATCTGGGAGGCTGAGGCAGGAGGATCCCAAGTTCAAGCCCAGAGCCTGGGCAACTTAGCAAGACTCTTTCAAAAAAACAAAAAAAGGGAATGTAGCTCAGTGTGTGAAGGTCCTGGGTTCAATCCTCACTACCGAAAGGAAAAAAAAAAATCTAGTTTCCAATTCCAGGTCCCTCCTCATCCCCACAGAGCCCTAGTCCATGAGGGGCTGGAATAAAGTAGAGGAACCACGTGGGGGCCCCGCGTCTAGCTGTTCTTTCAAACAATGCTTAGAACCTGTTTTGTCCTTTGGGTAACAGGGAGCTGGGTTATTATCCTCTGAGTATATTTATTAGTGAACGGTCCTTTGGATGCAAGCTATAGAAGCCCTGCTGAAACTAGTTTAAACAAGAAAGCTTGACCCAGGCAACTGGAGGGCCCAAAGCCTCTGGCAGGACCCAGCACCTCGGATAACGGCACGGGGACCCGGATTCTCCAGCCGCGGCTTCTCCTTTGCCTTTGCTCCCAGCAGCCCTTTCTTCACAAGGTCCTGAAAAGCCCCAGCTGACCTCCACTCAGGTTCAAGTGCAGTAGGAAACAGGTTGCCAGCTGTCCTTGCAGTCCTCGCGTGGCTCTCGCCGGTGCCGCCTGGGCCACGGGCTCACGGCTCGGCCAAGGGAGAGGGGGTGCTTTGCTCCCGCACCCTCCGGTTGTTCCCCGCAGAAAATCGGGTTGGGGCTTCCGGGAGACGGGCGAGGGATGCCAGACAGACCCCGACGGCCACCGCCTTGCCTCCCTGGTTTGTTGTGCAGGGTAAGTGAAAAGTGCTGGGGGTCTGGGGATTAGCTCAGCGGCACAGCGCCTGCCTGGCAAGCGCAAGGTCGTGGGTTCGATTCCCGGTACCGGAAAACACAAAACCCAGAAAAGCGCTTGGCTCTGCCTCACTCTCCGCAGATTCGTGGCCCCATCCTGCCTGTCCCCGGAACCAGGTGCCCCGGGGACCTTCGTGGGGGAGCACAGGCAGCTTGTGCGTGGGAATGGGCAGTCTTTGAGCTGCTCAGCAGGACGCCTGTCCTGTTACGTGGCCTCCCCGAGGACCCTGCCTGGCCTCCTCCAGGGCTCCTCCGAGGCCGGGCGCCGCAGACGCACCTGCGAGTGGCCCGCGCGAGCGTGAGATCGGGCCATCCAAGCCCCCTGCGAGACCCCGCCCCCACTCAGCCCTGTCCGCAGCACTCAGCGTGGGTCGGCGTCCTGGCCTTAGGGGCCAAACCTCGCTTCTGGGTAAACCCGGCTTCATTTACCAGCGCCTCTGTGGGGCAGGCAGTGCCAGCCCTTGCTCAAGGGATAAGCTACACTGTCAACTTGGCCTCTCCTGGACCCGGCCGGTCCGGGCTGAAACCTCTGAATCAGAGAACTCCTTTAAAGTGTTTTTCTATAGCTTGGTGTGGTGGCGCACACCGGTAATCCCAGCGCTCAGGAGGCTGAGGCAGGAGGGTGGTTGTGAGTTCCAGGTCAGCCTGGGCTACAAAGTGAGCTCAAGGCCAGCCTGAACTGCATAGCGAGACCCTGTCTCAAAAAAAGACAAAAATAAATAAAGTGTTTTTCTCTGGTATTTAGTCACAGCAATGAAAAGCTGACACATTTTCGGGTGTCGGAGCCATCACATAGCAGAAGACACAGGAGTGAGTCCCAGGACAGGCTCCAAGTAACAGCTGAGCCAGTGACTTTGTGGCTAGCGGCAGGTGACCACAGCTGACAAGCGGCCCTGGGACTTGAGCTCATAAAGCACGCACGGGGGGCAGGGGGGCTCTTCCTCTGCTGAGATGTGATTTTGGACTTAAGCTA